GCCCTGGTGTCAGTGCTACAGCTAAGTCGCACAACTTTGCGTCCGACTTTGCTGTGCGACTTCATAGTGGCTCCATTAACAGGTGTTAATGCAAGTTATTATTATTATACAGGATTTATATAGCACCAACAAGTTGCAACAAAGTTGCACAAAAATAGTGCAGGAACTTTTTTCAAAGTCGCTGCGACTTTAGTCACACCAATTTAAACCGTTTCATTGCCATTAACCACTTGCCCTCCTGAGGATTTACCCCCCTTAATGACCAGGCCTCTGTTTGCTACTCGGCGCTGCACTAATTCAACTGATAATTGCGCGGTCATGCAATGCTGCTTCCAAACGACATTTACGTCCTTTTTTTCACACAAATAGAGCTTTCTTTCGGTGGTATTTGATCATCTGTGCGCTTTTTATTTTTCACGCTATAAACAAAAAAAGACCAAAAATTTTGAAGAAAAACGATATTTTTTTTACTTTCAGCTATAAAAAATATATAGTAAACTCAAAGTTAGTTATAAATTTAGGCCAAAATGTATTCTGCTACATGTTTTTGGTAAAAAAAATCCCAATAAGTGTATATTGATTGCTTTGTGTGAAAGTTATAACGTCTACAAACTATGGTAGAGATACTGCAATTTACGCAATTTTTTTGCTATACAGCGCTGCGCTAGTTTAAACCGATAATTGCGCGGTCATGCAATACGGTACATAAATGAAATTTACATCCTTTTTTTCCCCACAAATTGAGCTTTCTTTTGGTGGTATTTGATCGCCTGTGCGGTTTTTTTTTTTTTGCGCTATAAAAAAAAAGTCTGACAATTTTGAGGAAAATAAACAATATTTTTGCTATAAAACATGTCCAGTAAAAAAAAATTCAAAAATCAAATTTAGTCATAAATTTCTGCCAAAATGCATTCTGCGACATATCTTTGCTACAAAAACCCCAATACGTGTAAATTAATTGGTTTACATGAAAGTTATAGTGTTTACAAATGGCGGGAAAGATACTGGGATTTTTAAAAAAAAATTTATACTAATAATGGCGGCGATCAGCGACTTATGGCGGCAATCAGTGACTTATGGCGGTGATCAGTGACTTATGGCAGGACTGCGGCGGACATTCTGACACTGGGTGGGAACTGACTTGGGGTCACTGACATCCCCAGTGACACCAATACAGTGATCAGTGCAAAAAAAAAAACACTGACAATGTACTAATGGCACTGGGGAGGAAGGGGTTAACTTTATTATTCAGTGAAAGGGTTAACTGTGTGAGGGGAGTGTTTTACTAGGGGGTGGGGGTGTGTACTGCAGGGAACACCGCTGATCGGGACAGATAAACTCTTCTGTCCCGATCAGCGTGTCCTGGAGCTGTCAGGGAACTGACAGAAAGCAGAGCTACTGCAGCTGTGCTCTCTGTCACTGATTGCCTCTAATCGCCGGGACATAGCCGGTAACGACCGGCTGTGACCCGGCGACTTACATCCGCGGCCGTGATAGGCGGGACAGGTAGGGCGGCAGTGCGCCTCACGCGCGCCTCCTACCTGTTTTAAAAAATACACGTTTTAAACCGTGGTTTTGCCCAGCCGTGCCGCCCTGCCGCCGTGTTTCTACAGTGGCTGGGCGGCATGTGGTTAATAGGGTGAGACTTGTCATGCGACTTTGAACTCCCAAGTTGCATGACATGGCTAAAGCCCAACTCTAGGCATGACTACCTTCATAAACCTGGCCTGGCCACAGTTACTAATGATGACTTCTGAAAGTCGCTGTTTACACAAACGTGCACAGCCCTCAGTGCCTGCCGATAGGTTACTGGGTTTTGCGTTATGGGATGGCAGTGGGTGCTTTTTCTCTAGTATATGATAGTTGAGAAATCGGAGTGGGTTTTTGAGTTCTTCTGGAGGTATTTGTATAGCAATTTACACAGTTCTTTACATATTGTACATTCATATCAGTCCCTGCCCTCAAGGAGCTTACAAGCTAAGATCCCTATCTCACATGCTAGGGACAATTTAGACAAGAGCCAATTAACCTAGCAGCATGTCCTTGTAGTGTTGGAAGAGGCACAGTGTAAACATGCATACTCCATGCAAATGGTGTCCTAGCCTGGGTTTGAACTGTGGACTTCCTGCAAGGCAGACGTGCTACCCGCTAAGCCACTGTGTTTATGCTGTCAGTTACATCTCTGTGCTGTAAGCTTGGCTTGTTTGGTAAGTTGGCAGAATTTCCTTAGAGTTCTGCATCAACTTAAGACAGAAAAGGCTATTCTTTCCATATTATATTTATAACCACCTCGTACCACTATTTTGTTTAAAAAAAAAAAAGTAAAGGTGGACTTCATTTTCTGGATCACTAATTATAAACAACGCTTTGGAAGACATGCTCAGGCAGCCATTTCACCTATTGGAAAGCTCAGATCACCATCACAATGTACTGAGGCAATCAGAGTGGCTCTGTACCTTGTAAATGCTGTTACCCGTTTGCAGCTATCACAAGTGTAGACAGTCGAGTTTACAGTTATTCAGCCCATTCACAACAAAGGAATGAAAGTTTGTAAAGAATGAAGGATAGCATTCAGGTGGTGTTCACTGACCGCCAGTGGTGATGGGAGTTTTTTTTTTAAGGTGATGGGGAGTTTAAAGTGCCACTGATCACCAATAAATATGAGATTATTTTTAGTTGAGAGATTATTTTATATATATATTCTTTACATAGTAAAAAATACTAATCCAGATGTTATTAATTACTACCAAAATAAAAATTGTTTTTTTTTTTTTTTAAAGATAAATTCATCTGGGTACAGCATTGTAGGATCAAGTAATTGTCTATCACAGTACCAAAAAATGGCCTTCGTAATGAAGGGGTAGGTATAGGCTAGTACACAAAGTGGTTAAATCTTCATGTATATGCAGGTTAATCTTAAAGAAAATGTTACCCCAGCATTTCTTCGTAATGCTTTCTTTTGTGTTAAATCCTTGGTGTTCCTGTCTGTCCTCCTGCTTTCCTATTAAAAACTGACCACACTAGACATGATAGCACATCCAGCCCAGTGTGGTCAGTTTTCTGACTGTGGTGGGGGAACAGCCTGTCAGTGCCCAAGGCTATTTTTAAGTTAAAGGGTCACATATACTTTAACCACTTGGTAAGCGTGCTATAGCCGAATGAAGGCTACAGCGCGGTTACCCAGTTCTTGGAGGGAGTCATATGATGTCCTCCCAGAATGCACTCTCCCGCACGCCCCCATGGGGGCGCACCCGGTGATCTCCGTGATCACTGTGTCCTATGTGCCCAATGACACAGCAGATCACAGAGTATATACAGTTGCCGGTTATCGGCAGCACTTTCCTCGCGCTGTCACTGCGTGAGGAAAGTACTGCCAATAACCAGCAGCTGTCACAGAGGAGATCCCCACTGATCATCAGTGCCCACCAGTGACACCCATCAGTGCCCACCAGTGCCACCTAGCAGTCCCGTCCAGCAGTGCCTCCAGTCAGTGCTGCCAGTTAGTGTCGCCGATCAATGCTGCCTGTTAGTGCCCATCAGTGCTGCATATCAGTCCAGCATCAATAGTGCCTCCTCATTAATGCCCACCAGTGCCACCTCAGTGCCCATCAGTGCTGTCTATCAGTGCTGCCTCATCAACGCACATCAGTGAAGGAGAAAAATTACCACCAAAAGAAAGCTTTATATGTGTGAATAAAAACTATACAAATTTCATATGGGTACAATGTTGCATGACCGCGCAATTGTCATTTAAAAGTGCGACAGCACTGAAAATTGGCCTGGGCACGTATGGCGTATAAGTGCCCAGTAGGCAAGTGGTTAAAGCAATATTAAACGTTCACTTCTTTTATTTATTTTTTTAAATAATAAACATGTCTACACTTACCTCCTGTGTGCAGTGATTTTGCACAGAGCAGCCTGGATCCTCTTCTTCTTGGGTCCCCCGCAGGCTCTCCTGGCTCCTCCTTTCTGTTGAGTGCCCCCACAGCAAGCAGCTTGCTATGGGGGCACCCGCTGCTCCTGGCTGACTGGCTGTGATTGACAGCAGTGGGAGTCGATGGCTCCTGCTTGCTGTCTCGGCCAGTGGGGAGACAGAGACCCGGGACAACCGAGGCTGTTGCGCACATCGCTGGATCTCGATGGGGCTCAGGTAAATATGAGGGGGCTGGGGGGTACTGCTGCACACACAAGGATTTTTACCTTCATGTATAGAATGCATGAAGCTAAAAAAACCTTGAGTCTTGACAACCACTTTAACTCCTTCCTGCCTTTCCTGGTGTCCATTTAACTGGACTATTACACTCGGTGAACACTGTGTTTACAACAGTTACATGATCGGTCACGTCAGTTCCCGAACGTTGGTACTTACTGAGATCTGTCTTTCACAGCTTAGTGTCTGTGCTGTGTGCTTGCTTTCAGTACAGAAACCTATGCCACCTATAGATGCATATGTGTTAAAGCTCACCCTCTTTGATGCCGTACATATGCAATACATGGGTGACGAGATTAATAACTTGGTCAACTATAATCTAATTTGGACTGTGGATTTCCCATTTTCTTTCAGAGACTGCGTGAAGGTGTAGTTCAAGACTTGGAAAGGCAGAGACGAAAAAAAGAAAACCTGCGCCTTCTTAATGAACAAATTGAATTAACCAAACAGCTGGAGTCCAACCGTGAGAAGGATTTTTAAGTGAAACATCTAATAAATCATACCTGTGGACTTCTGCCGGAAACAAGGACAGTTGATTTTTCCCATATGTGACTTTTCGATCCATTTTCAGATTGGCCTTGTTCTAGATAGTGATCACACTCAAAGTTGTCATTGTGAAAAAAGACTTCATGGCCTCCTAATAAAAGTGCCTAAACTATAGGAAAGTGTGTGCAGTGTGGTCTGTGCTGCCTGATTGTATTGTAGAATAGGGAGCTACATGTCAGCTGTTGTATAAAGAGACATAAGACGTTTGTTCTAGCTAGATCCCGTCATCTGCTGTGATTAGGTCATGGACACGTCAGCTCATATCACTCCTATGGACGATGAGGCCACCAGGACCTCAGCCTCTGAAGGTCTGGAGGAAGGAGAAGTGGAAGGAGAGACTCTGTTGCTGGTAGAGTCAGAAGACCAGGCTTCTGTAGACTTGTCTCATGATCAAAGTGGAGATTCTTTAAACAGTGATGTTGGCGATGACGTGGACCCACCATGGATGGAAGAAATGCCTTTTCACTGTGACAAATGTCAGAAATGGATCCCAGAAAGTATGTATGGTGTGCTTCTCCATTTCGTAGTTTTTATTTTGATCTTCTAAAAAGTGAAACCACAAAACTTGTGATTGTTTCATTCAGAGTGCAGACCCAATATAAGCTCAGGGGATATTTAAAGGAAGACTTTCATGAGAGAGATAGAGGGGCTACCATTCCTGACTTTAATATGTTTGCTGACTGGCCATTTCCTCATTCACTGGCTTTAAAAGTCAACCATGTTGATATGAGTAGCCCTTAAAGGCATCAAGCTATCCCCAACCCTGGTCTGTAACTTACTTCACACCCCGTTTGCGATCTTCACTGTGGGACCCTGCTTAGAGTCACATAGCCTTTCTTCATAAAAGGGACTTTGCTGGGTCCTCTTCATCTTACGCAAGTGCTCCACAGCTCCATTCAGTCTGATGGGGAGCTGTACTCATGGTGGCCTCCAGTGCTCTTGCAGAGTGTGGCTTTCTCCATAGAAATGAATGGGACCACAGAAGGTGCTTTCTGTGTTGTGGGGCACCAAGCAGAGCCACACATTGAAAATCACTGTGGGGTAGAGGTAATTATCAATAGAAGTAATGATAATCAGAGCAAATACTGGACCAAAGTCCGAAAAGTCTATTAGTATTTAGAAATAGTCCGGGTGACTTGGATATGGGGGGGGGGGGGGGTCCGTGTGACATTTAGGGCAAGCTCCATGCAGTACTGTAGCAGACTCTGTGTAATAAGGAGAGAAGAAGAAGCGCCTCTAAGTGCAGCAGACCACTTTAATATATAGTAAAAGTAGGAACACTCACATGGTAGTAGAGTAATAAAAGCATGTAGGGTATTGTGTAGAAACACCATGTGGAACGGCTGTCACTGCTGCCTGTATCGTCCATGTCTCAGTGGTAGGGAACGTGGTTCAGGAGGGAGACAGATGTGGAGCCAGGTGGCATGCACATACGCCTAAAAGATGGCGGCTGGAACGCATGCTGAACCACAACTTCGGCGTAGGAGTGATGTCAGTGACCAAGATGCAATATGACGCGTTTTGGAGCATGCGCTGGCTTCTAATGAGAAAGGAGTGCGCTTCCACCATTAGAAGCCAGTGCATGCTCCGAAACGCGTCGCATTGCATTTGTACTGTTCCAGCCGCCATCTTTTAGGAGTACGTGCATACCGGCCGGCTCCACATCTGTCTCCCTCCTGAACCACGCTCCCTACCACTGAGACACAGATGATACAGGCACCAGTGACAGCCATTCCACATGGTGTTTCTACACCACAATACCCTATATGCTTTTATTACTCTACTACCATGTGAGTGTTCCTACTTTTTATTATGTATTAAAGTAGTCTGCTGCACTTAGAGGCGCTTCTTCTTCTGTCCTTAGAGGTAATTATCAGACTAGGTAGGCTTCACTTAGTGGCAAGGGGGTTATGCCTTAAAATATAACATGGCAAAATGTGTTTTTTTTTTTTGTTTTGGATAGAGTGAACAGGACGGTAATGGGGGGGAAATCTTCCAGTAGGGACACTAGTTCTGGGATTCCCTCACTTTGGAGGGATTTCCTTTCACTGCCTGTTTTTGCTATGGAGCACTTATTAAACCAAATAGACATTAATGAGCTTTCACAAGTTTTTCATGGAAGTGTGACCCCTTAAAGGATAAGTTCACCTTTCCACAAAAATATAATAAATGCACATATTTCTGCAGGTAAAAAAAATGTGCATTTATTTTTTGTGTTAGGAACCTGTAAAGCATTGCACCCACAATCAACAGATTGCTGATGCCATGCAGGTCTCCGACAGACTGTCAATGTATCTGCTTGCTTGCACATCCCATTCGAGCAAGCCAATACTTGCAAGGCTCAGTGAACTACCACAGAGCTCGCAGCGCTGTGGTAGTTCATTGAGTACTAAAAGCCGACAGCCACTAAGGCTGTTGGGACTTGTAGTCCATTCATTCACAGAACACTGAATGAATGACGTGGTCGTGTGGGCGGAGCCCCGCACTGTTTTTGAAAACTGACAGCTAGTACAGGGAACGTCTTCCCGTACTGCTGTCACACGGAGTGAGGGGGCTGCAGGATCTGGAACATGTTACATGTTCCACCCTAAAAACAAGGTGGAACATGTGACCTTTTCCCAAAAAAGAACTTCTACTTTAAGATGATATTTGAGCCAAAACGTTTTACCGAACTGGGATATGTTCCCCATGCTTCCTGTGGTGTCACCAGGACAGGAATTGAGCAGAATCTTTCTATTTTAGAACAGGAATAAAAGCTCTTTTAGAGTAATGAGAAATGGTTAGAAACTCTCAGGGTTTAGTTATTTTATTGTTTCTTTCCTGTGTTGACTTTGTAAATGAGTGGAATTCTGCTCAACAGGGGTGTGCAAAATCATATGTGTATACATCCGTGATTTCGCATTTGTGGGTAGGGGGCACTCGCACCCTACCTGCACCGCTATTCGCGGCCTCGGCTGTCAATCACAGAGTCTCGGCCTGTGATTACTCGTCAGCACCCGTTGATCGCCAAGCGTTACCAACGGGGGGGAGAGAACTGTATGAAAACAATACAGTTCTCTCCCCTGTCAGCTCCTGCACACTGATTTATATGGCTCTGCATAGCAGAGCCATACAAAGCAGTGTTCTTACAGTTAAAAAAGCACACACACAGCACACAGTAAAACAGCACACTGTTAACCCTTTGATCGCCCCACATGTTAACCCCTTCCTGCCCAGTGCCATTAGTACAGTGTCATTACTTTTTATTAGCATTGATCACTGTATTGGTGTCACTGGGGATGTCAGTGACACCAAGTCAGTTCCCCCCTAGTGTCAGAATGTCCGCCGCAGTCCCACAGTCCCGCTATAAGTTGCTGATCGCCGCCATTATTAGTAAAAAAAAAAAAAAAAAATTGCGTAAATTGCAGTATTTATACTGCCATTTGTAAACGCTATAAACTTTCACATAAAACAATTCATTTACACGTATTGGGATTTGTTTTTTAGCAAAGGCATGTCGCAGAATACATTTCGGTCTAAATTCTGTCAGAATGCCTCCCGCAGTCCCGCTATAAGTCTCTGATCACCGACATTACTAGTAAAAAAAATACATTTTGGCCTAAATTTATGACGAAATTTGATTTTTTTTTAAACATTTTTTTACTGGACATGTTTAATAGCAAAAAGTCAAAAATATTGTTTTTTTTTTTCTCAAAATTGTCAGTCTTTTTTTTATAGTGCAAAAAATAAAAACCACACAGGTGGTCAAATACCACCAAAAGAAAGTTCTATTCGTGGGAAAAATAGGATGTAAATTTCATTTGGGTGCAGTGTTGCATGACCGTGCAAATGTCAGTTAAAGTACCACAGCACCGTAACGCAAAAAGTGGCCTGGTCAGGAAGGGGGGTAAATCCTCTGGAGGGCAAGTGGTTAAAACCCTAAAAGAGGGTTTGTCTCTTACTTACTGTCCAAAATTATATGAAAAAAAAAAATGTTGGCTGGAGTTGGACTTTTTTATAAACTACTCCAAGTACTGTACCAAGGTTAGAGAAAGAAGAACAAGCTCAAATGTAATGCAGTGTATGATATCTGATCTTAATGTCATCTGTCACATAATTAAATTCAATTTGATTTCACATTCTCTCTTCCCATTTCAAAAGCTATAAAGGTCATAACTTATAAAGAGATCCACTTACATTCACCTGTGTATGTTACAAACATTATATAAATAAAGAACCAGCGCCACGGAAATTATTTAACACAGTAAGCTGCAAAACCTAGCCTATAAAATTATAGGATATACAAAACTTCAAGCGCAACCTATTTGTATGTTACATTGTTTTTCTGTTTAAAGGATAAGTTCACCTTTAGTAGCATGTTACTAACCTCGGATCCTTTCCCTGCACCCGCTGTCGCAAAAAAAAACATTCAGTGCGTTCTGTTTAACCACTTCAAGTCCGGACACTTTTACCCCCTTTCCTGTCCAGGCCAATTTTCAGCTTTCAGTGCTATCACACTTTGACAATTGCGCAGTCATGTAACACTGTACCCATGTGAATTGTTTAGCATTTTTTTGAGACAGATAAAGCTTTATTTTGGTGGTATTTATTCACCACTGGGATTTTTTTTTTTTTTTTTTTGCTATATAAATGAAAAAGTCCAAAAAATTTTTTTACAGTGTTTTTCTTATACAATTTTGCAAATAAATAATCTTTTTTTCATAAATCTTGGACAACATTTATTCAGTTATCTTTTTAGTAAAAAAACAAATTTAGTTTATAACCAAAAATTTTTCAAAATTTTTTTTTATTTTTTTAAAATTTTTATATTATTTATTTTTTTTATATATATTTTTTTTTTTTATTACATACTTACATACCGTCACCCTAGCAGTACAGTGTCACCATAGTGACACCGTACTACTTGTGGGGGGTGATAAAGATTTTTTATTTTTTTTTTTTTTTTACACTGATTGCTTTTACACCCATAAAGGCTGTAAAAGCAATAATTTCTCCTTCTCTCTGGCTGCATTTTTGCAGCCATTGATGAATACTGTGTGAGCTGTGATTGGTCACAGCTTGTCACATGGTACAAGGCTGTTGTGCACAGCCTTGTACCATGTGACCTCTGTGATCATTCACAGATTTCACACGTAGTAAGCAATGATGTCAGGAAGTGACATCTTGCTTACTACTATTCATGTGATCACTGATTGGCCAATCAGTGATCACATGATCGGGACCTCACACAGGTCTCCTACAACGATCGGTGTTCCCACGGAGCACGCACAAGCAGGGAAGCGGGGGAGGACGTTTATAAATGGCCAGCCGCCCCTGCACTGCTCTCGTCTGGCCGTTTATATACATGGGCTGGAAGTGGTTAATATCGCTGCACGTCATTGTGCATGCTGATCATGTTTTTTCAGGGCAGCGCTACCATACAGAATCTGTCTGGTGGAAACAATGGACTCCCTGCATTCTCTCACATAAAACACCCATAATGCTTCTGGTATCCAGAGACCAAATGATCTTTACCTAGGCATATGGGAGCTCAAGAGTAAAGGTTTTTTTTTTTTTTTTTTTTTTAATTCATGACACAAAATAATAATGACATTTTGTAAACCCAACTTGTTCTTCTGATTTCTGTTTAGCATAGAACTTAATAGTATGTCAGTTTAACTTGATGTCAAAAGCTTTCTCTTGTTGACGTAGCTGTTTCCGGTCATGTGTTCATTTTCAGGCCAGCTCAGAGGTGACCAACCAAGTCACCTGAAAGGAGACAATTTCTTCAAATTTACATGCAGTGACTGTGCAGAAGACGGCAAAGAGCATTTTGAGCGCTTAAGGCTGACTTGGCAGCAAGTAAGTAAAAGAGCAGATTTAGAATGGGCCTGGGTTAACTCGGATGATATATTCGTTTTTCTTAATATTGAATATATTCTGCTGATTACAAGATTCAGAGGTGAAATCTTTAGTTGGTATTGAGCCAGCGTTCTATTCCATATATGGAAATAAAGATACCCTTAAAATATCAGAATCTGGACAGGTAAAGGTCCATATGCCATTCTCAAAGCAGCTGTATAAAAAAAAACAAAAAAAAAAAAAAACTAAAAAACCTTTAAGTGAATTTTCATGAATATTTAAACATACCTTTAGTTGGCTGCAGAAACTGAATCTATCTTCATATCGGTCTCCTGTAATCCACATCTAGGGTGGAAGAGAACTGTAAGCCAACCAAGCTACAGTGTTGTTCACTACTTCCTGAGAGCAGGACGGAACAGAGTGGCATTCTTATCAGTGTGCTTTTGCTCTTTTATTATCCAATCACAAGTCATTGTGGGTCTTGGGCCCAATGTACACAGGACACTTCTGAACGATGGAAACTGACTGCTGGAAAACATAGGTTAAAAAAAAATCTGTTTTAGCCATGTTTATGAGCGTTTGCGTTTAGAAGCGTTTTTTTTTTAAAGATAACCTCAGGAGACTTTCCAAAATGTCCAGAATGCACTGAAAAACAGTATAAAATTAACAATTTCAGACATTTTGAGAGAAATCGAGAGAGCAGAAAGAACAGTATTTGATGAGATTAGCTGTCTTTTTTTTTTTTTTTTTTTTTTTTTTTTTTTTTTTTTGTGTGGTGTTTGGATGTGTTCCAGCTCATTTCTGTGCAGAAATGATTGCAGCAGTGTCTAACATATTTTCTTTCATGCAAAACCTCAAAGTATGGTTGTGACAGGAGTCACTTTAGGTGGGGGACCCATGGAACACAGCTCCCTTTAGAGAGGTGGGGAGACCCCTGTCTCAGCTCCCCATATCCCTCTTATATGTAAGTCACCCTGTGCCTGTTAGGGGTACAGGGTTGAATGTCCTGCTATTGTGTAGACATGTATAGGTGGGGGTTGTTCATTGTTCACTACCATGTGGTGCATCCCATTGTTCTATTGTGTGTCTTGCTTGGGAGCAAACTATTATGGGATGTATGTGTTTGTGTATTGGCTTGGTGGGGGGGTGTTTCCAGCAGCCCTTCCCCCTGATGGGACGGCCTGCTGATGTGTTTTTTGTTACTGAGTGTGTATTTCCTCGTCCTGTGTATATATATATATATATATATATCTTGTATCTATGTTAAAATAAAGCAGTCTGTCTCCTGGAATCCTTCAAGGCTGGTGCTGTCTACTCAAGGCTGTATGGTCAGCGATGGTGTTCGGACAGGGAAGCGGGAGTCTAACGGAAGTACCATAGTGCAGTCGGGGTCCGGTTCCATTACAATGGTGTACTAGGTCCATTTGAGTACCGGGGAAAAAAGGCTCTGGACAGCATCTGGAAATGGAAGAGTTTAAACAAATGTTTCAAATGCTTATAAACGCGGTTAACTGCGTTTACACGCATTTACAAGCATTTGAAACGCTGATAAAATCTGCTGAACGCAAGTTTTGCGTTTAAGAAAACGACTGTAAACTCAACTGCCTGTAATCGACTGTAAAGGACAGTGTACATGGACACATAGGAAAAAATTAGGGAGAGTTCAGGGGCTGCTGAAAAAAACGCAGAATTGCTCCTAATCGTGAGTTTATCAGCTGCAGTGTACATGAGCCCTAAGTTGTTCACCTGCAGTGAGGGGTCTGCAGAGTGGCCTTGGAGTTCTGGACTTGGCTGGATGCAAGTCACCTCGGAGTTGTCTAACAGCACAAATACAATAGCTTTTTTTACCTGTAGTAAACAGCAGAACCGCTCACACTGTGAAGCAATTGGTTACTATTAGATGGTATAGGTCTCCCACAGCACCAAGTGTTTTAGTCTTGCTGTATAGACATGGCATTACAACCTCTGGACTAACTGGGACATGTTTTCTGGCCTGTGCATTAAGGGAGACATGTAAACATCTAATTATACATTTATTAAGTTTATCTTTAATTTAGCTCGCTGGCTCCCAGAATGACCAGATTTCTGAATTTCCCTCCCCTTAGTAATGGAATGTATATTTAATTTTGTCATTGTAATCAAAACTATCTAGTTAATCTGTGTTTTTTTTTTGTGTTTTTTTTTTCTGTGCATTTATTCCTAAAATATCTAATACAAGTGGTTATCTAGGAAAAAAAAGCACTTGAAATGGTCTGAATGATATGCGTCTCATATTGCAGGTGGTTATGCTGGCCATGTACAACTTGTCCCTGGAAGGATCTGGCCGCCAGGGTTATTTTAGATGGAAGGAAGACATCTGCTCATTCATAGAGAAACACTGGACCTTCTTGCTGGGGAGCAGGTGAGAATTTGAAATGCCTATCTACCACTAACTACTCAAGTTTTCAGTTTTGTGGGCAAATATGTTGTTATATTGTATATCTGGCACATCTGAAGCCAAAATGTTTTCTTTTTTTGGTTTTGGATAGGGTTGGGGAGGGTTTAAAACCGCTGTTAGGTTTTTAATTTTTTTTTTTTTTCTTTTTTTCTTTTTTTTTTTTCCATTTGCATCTTATTAGGGAGATTTCTCCTCACTTCCTGTCCTGTAAACCCAATAGCAAGTGAGAGGATATCTTTCCAATGTGTGAAATTTCTCTCTTAGAGTTGTGGTGGGTAAATCAACCTGTGATTATAATATGTTTTAACCACTTCAATACTGGGTACTTTTACCTCCTTCCTGCCCAGGCCAATTTTCATGTTTCAGCACTCTCATGCTTTGACAATTGCACAGTCATGCAACACTGTACTCAACCTACATTTTTACTATTTTGTTCACACAACTAGAGCTTTCTTTTGGTGGTATTTAATCACCATTGGGTTTTTTATTTTTTGCAAAATTAACAAAAAAAGACCAAAAATTAAAAAAAAAAAAAAAGTTTTTCTTTGTTATAAAAATTTGCAAATAAATAATTGTTGTTCATACATTTAGGGCAATATGTATTCTGCTACATTTTCTTTGGTGAATCAGTATTTATTATTTTGTTTGTAGGAAAGTTATAGAGTTCACAAACTATGGGATATATCTGAAAATCGATCAATACTGAAGTACTGACAGCCGATCTGACATTTTCGGGCCTCAAGAAATTAGAACAGTACAGATATCCCCAAAATGACCCCCTTTTGCAAAGTAGACAGTCCAACGTATTTCATAAGAGGCATGGCAAGTTTTTTTGAAGTTGTAATTTTTTTTTTTTTTTTTTTTTTTTGAAAATTAAAAAAATTATTTTCACAAATTTTTGACAGTGTCATCATATAACTGGTGTGGTGGTGATCAGGGACACTGACTGGTGACAGTACAAAAAAAAATTGACTTTTTTTTTTTTTTTTTTTTTTTATTTTTCGATTTTATTTTAATTTTTTATTAATTTTTTTTTCTCTTTTTTTTACTATTTTCTTTTCATATTACACTATGACCAAAATAGTATAATGTTACCATAGTACCATTGTACTACTTTGAGGAAGTGATCAGTTTTTTTTTTTTTTTTTTACACAATATGATTGCTTATATCAAAGAATTTCTTTGCTATAAGCAAGCATTTAACTGAATGATATCGATTCAATCAGGTTTTTTTGTTGTGATTAGCTGTGATTGGCCACGGCTAGTCACATGACACTGATGGGCTGTGATTGGCCCAGTCTGTGCATGTGATCACTGTGACCAATCACAGTTAGTGACACAATTGTTTACACTGGATGGCCATTCATTGTTTACAATTGTCATGTGACCTGCTGATTGGTCACAGCAGGTCACATGGTACTAGCAAAGGGCTGGCACACAGATCTGTCCTCTGGTGTGTCCAAGGTACACAGCCAGTGATAGATCTTGGCACAGCACGGTACTGCGGGTGACGCCCACTCGGATCGACGAGAGTCCCGCCCGGCCGTCATTTTCCTATTGGCCAGGCAGGAAGTGGTTAATAAGTACATTTGAGGTGGTCACACTCCAATTTATGAGATTTTTTGTAAAATCAGTCAAACTATTTTGATGTACTTTATTTAACCATCAAGTTGGAAAGGAGACATCTGCACTGATAATCAGAGCCCTGATTATCAGCGCAGCCCCAAAAGTGCCAATCAGTGCCCAGCAGTGCTGCCAATCTGTGCCCATCATTGCCACCTATCAGTCCGCCTCATCAATGTTTAACAGTGAAGAAGAAAAATTACCTGTTTGTAAAATTTATAATGGAAACTAAGACATTTTTTTTCAAAATTTTAGGTCTTATCGTTTTAGCAAAAAATAAAACACACAGTGGTGATTAAATACCACCAAAAGAAAGTTCTATTTGTGCGAACAAACTTTTAAAAATTCCATATGGGTACAGTGTTGCATGACCGCGCAAATGTCATTCAAAGTGCGACAGCACTGAAAGCTGAATATAGGCCTGGGCAGGAAGGGGGTAAAAGTGCCCAGTAGGCAAGTGGTTAAAATAAGAAAAAAATAAGGAAATTTTGAAATTGATGGCAGCAACCCGTCTCAAAATATTTTGGACAGGGCAACAAAAAGCTGGCAAAATAAGTGATACAAGGAAGTGCTGGAAGAACGTTTTGCAACTAATTAGGGTAATTGGCAACAGGTCAGTAACATGACTGGTTATAAAAAAAAGAGCATCTTAGAGAGTCGGAGTGTCTCAGAGGTAGAGATGGGCAGAGGTTCACTAATCTGTTAAAAGCTGCATCTAAAATTGTCAAAGTTTCAGAATAATGTTCTTCCATGTAAAATTACAAATACTTTGAATATATCATGCACAATACCTAATATTAAAAGATTCCTAGAATCTGGAGAAATCTCAGTGCACAAGGTACAAGGCTGAAACTCCATATTGGATGCCTATAATCTTTGGGCTCTCAGACAGCACTGCATTAAAAACCGACATAACTCTGTGGTGGACATCATGGCATGGGCTCAGAAATCTTTCCAAAAATCACTGTCTGTGAACACAGTTCACTGTGCCATCCAAAAATGCAAGTTAATGCTCTATAATGCAAAGCAGAAGCCATATCTGAACATGATCCAGAAACTCTTCCAGCTTCTCTGGGCTAAAGCTAATTTAAAATGGTCTGTTGCAAAGTGGAAAAACTGTTCTGTGGTCAGATAAATTGAAATTTCTTTTTGGCAACCATGGGCGCCATCCCCTGGGCTAAAGAGGAGAAGGACCTTCCAGCTTGTTTTCAGCGCTCAGTTCAAAATCCTGCATCTCTGATGGTATAGGAATGCATTAGTGCATATGGAATGGGGCAACGTTTGCATCTAGTAAGGCACCATCAATGGTTAAACATATATTAAGGTTTTAGAGCAGTGTATGCTTCCTTACAGATAGCATCCTTTTCAGGGAAGGCCTTTCATATTTTAGCAGGACAATGCTAACTCATATAATGCATCTATGACAACAGCATGTCTTTGTAGTAGAAGAGTCCGGGTCCTTTACTGGCCTGCCTGCAGTCCAGACCTTTCACCATTAAAAATATTTGGCACATCTTGAAAAGAAAGATATGACAAAGAAGACCCAGGACTAAGGTTGAGCAGTTAGAACACTATATTAGGCAAGCATAGGACTACATCCCTCTCCCAAAACTCCAGTAACTGGTCTCCTCAGTTCCCAGACGTTTACAGAAACGTTTGTTGAAAGAAGAGGAGATGCTACACTGTGGTGAACATGGCCTTGTCCCAACTTTTTTTGAGACATGTTGCTGCCATCAATTTCAAAATGATCTTATTTTTTTCTTAAATTGGTACCTTTTTCAGTTTAAACATTTGATATGCTTTTCTGTTTTCTGTTGTGAATAAAATAATGGGGTCATGAGATAAAAAATTTTCGCATCCTGTTTTTATGTAGATTTTAACCATTTCAATACCGGGCAATTTTACACCTTCCTGCCCAGGCCAGTTTTCACATTTCAGCGCTCTCACACTTTGAATGACAATTGCGCGGTCATACAACATTGTACCCAAACTAAAATTTTATCATTTTCTTCACACAACTAGAGCTTTCTTTTGGTGGTATTTAATCACCGCTGGGGTTTTTATTTTTTGCTCAATTAACAAAAAAAGACCAAAAAGTTTGAAAAAAAAATACGTTTTTCTTTGTTTCTGTTATAAAAGTTTACAAATAAATAATTGTTCTTCATAAATTTAGGCCAAGATGTATTCTACTATATGTCTTTGGTGAAAATAACCCAAATTAGGATGTATTTTTTAGTTTGTAGGAAAGTTATAGAGTTCACAAACTATGGTATAGATCTGAAAATTGATCAATCCTGAAGTACTGACAGCCAATCTAATTTCTTGAGGTCCAAGAATGTCAGAATAGTACAGATATCCCCAAATGACCCTTTTTGTAAAGTAGACAGTCCGATGTTCATAAGAGGAATGGCGAGTTTTTTGAAGTTGTATTTTTTTTGTCATAATTTTTTGGAAAATGAAAAAATTAAAAAAATTATTTTCACTATTTTTTTTTTTTTTTTACATACTGTCACCAGTGCAGTACAGCGTCGTCATATAACTGGCATGGCGGTTAACAGGGACACTGACTGGTGACAGTATGGGGGAAAAAAAAAAAAAAAAATATATATATATATATATATATATATATATATTTATTTTATTTTTTTTTTTAAAGATTTTTTTTTTCATATTTTACTATGACCATTTACCTGAATGACATCGATTCCGAGGTACACGGCCGGTGACAGATTGCGCGGCTCTGCAACCGCGCGAACTGCGCATGTGCGGGAGGACGCCAAATGGCGTATACCCCGGAAATCTGCAGCATTTTTGTGGCTGCCAAACGGCTATAGGCTAATGGTTAAATAGTGTCCCAGGTTTTATTGAATTGGGTGTACCTGTATTGTTTTTATTTTAATGACAGACAAGGCTTTCTTTTCATTATATTGTCTTACAACAATTTTTAATTTTTTTTGCAATCCATAGACCATAAAACACAGCAAATCTAAACAAAACACACTTTTTCCCTTTTTTTTTTTTTTTTTTTGTATTCGTTTAAAAAAAATAAAAAAATAAAATAGGGTTACTGCACATAAAATGAGCCTATTTTATTCTGTAATTTGTCCTGTTTAAAATAAATGCTAAAAACTGATTCTGGTACAAAGCATTGCAAAGTTATTTATAAATTATTAAATGTTTTTTTCCAAGTTTGCTCTTTTTTTAAAATGGGAAATGTGTAAATATATTTTAACTGTGTAAATATCAACAGACAACGCATTTATATAAAAAGAAAAAAAAATATTCAGTTGAATAATAGTTGAAAAGAGAAGGAGATTAATGAGTTAATTGGGGCTGATTAGAGTAAACTAAGGGTTAATAAGGGGCTAAATAGAGAATCTTTATTAATGTCTTAAACTTGTCAGGTTGCTTTAACTGACATCATTTGTAGATCTAAGTTCCTTCCTTTTGATCTGCAGATGAATGAACAGAATGATAAAAAAGTAACAATATGTTTCTTTTGTAACTTTCAATATTGGTCTGGAGCAGTGCTGTTTATAAACATTTGATGGAGACTGCTTTTTTTGACAGCTACAGCTGCCCACACCTTCTTGGAGTATACCGTAATGCCAACTTTGATTAATCAAACTGATAATTACTGTATCTTGGGGGGGGGGGGGGGGGTGTCCCAGAAGCAGGGAAGAGACATTAGACATGCTACACATGTCCTGTGTACAATGCTACACACGCCCAAAGTCTGCAACTAGATAAAGAATGTAGTCCCAAATCAGAATTAAAATGAAGCCTTTTAAAATCTTCTGCAGCCTTTTATGGCTCCCTCTTGAGTTATTGTAGGGATGGGGCAAGCGTTGGGACTAGCACCCCCTATTGCCATGGGAGGAGGTGCAGTCCTGTTCTTTCAGGTCGCACATGTGCAGTGTGTACTGTCTCCTCCAGATGCACATATGCAGCCCAAAAGAACAGGACTGGGCTGAATGAAAAAACAATTCCTCCTATCACACAACAGTAGAAAGGAAACACAATGTACTGCTAAGAAATGCATCCATCATCCCTCAGTCACCTAATATATCAGTATTTGTGCATGCTGTTGCTTTCTGTGTTGCCTGCTTTACCAGCATAACGGGTTGTGTGCTGGATGTGTACACTGGAGAAATGTCCATTCATTTGTTTATAGAAAGAAGACTTCTACCTGGTGGAGCACTGTTGCCGGCTGTCTGTCTGTGGGAAGCCCCATGTTCTTCCGTTCTGGAGCTCAGGAGTTTGGAGAGCCAGGATGGTGGAAGCTAGTTCACAACAAACCTCCAGCCATGAGACCCGAGGGTGAGATGTATTCTCTTACTTCTCTGCAGTTAAAAGGTATGGTAGGCTTTAAAAGTAGGTCTGTATAGCCGCTTTGTGGCAAGAAGCAATATTCAGCCTGGCAATTGCCACAACCACTGGTACCCCTGTGTTCTAGGAAGGAACAGTGGAAGGCTGGTCTTTATTTTAACCATACCTGCATTTCGAGTTGGTTGCTGCACTCCATACTTTATCTGATTGTTGTAGGCAGTGGTAAAATCAAGGTTGAATAAATGTTTAGTGTTTCACAAGATTAGGATAGAAAAAATGCACATGCAGGGGTTTACCATGTAACTTATTCCTGTCTGACTTTTTCAGCTTCTATCAGAGACTTTTAACCTATCTATTGTTGGTGAAGCCACTCTTTGTAGTTTAACCACCCAAGACTAGTGCACTCTGTCCAATATTAGGCCGAACTCCAGGCAATCTGCTAAATGTGCAAGTGAAATTCATACAAGTGCTTTTTTACCTGAAAAAAGACCTGTAGTCCTGTCCATCCAGTTATGAGATTTACACAACTCTGACATACAGCACAACCTCATCTGTCAGGAGGAGACCTGATTCCAATCTGTTACAGGTATATAACACAGGTCTTGTCCCTCCTCCAGCCTGTGGCTGGACAGCAAAAGGAAAAGCAGCAGGCTGGTAAGATCATTTCCCTGTCACTCTGCTCTCCCCTCCTTTCATCGTGCTCCTTGGTAGTACATGAACACTGCAGTACAATTCCTTGGCTTATTTTGCTGCTTCTGTCTCTCCCAATCTGAGGTTTTTTGTACAGATCATTACAAGAGGCTAATACCTCAAATTCTGGTACATGCAGTGTTTGCTCTTAAGAAAAACCTGTAACTGTATATCCATGAATACAGAGCTGCCTTGATTCTTTATAACTGGAAATTAGCCGTATTAAACCCAAAAGCAAACATTTATTATATTGCAGCTTACCAATTCGTAGCTATGAGGGCCATATTAATCTTTTTTAGGCTTTCTTTCTTCTATTTTCATCTGGTGATCTGGCCAGTAAGTCTGTTTTTTCAAAAGAACAAGGTCTCCTACATATGTATCAGTTTACAGAAATGAGACAAACCATTTACCATTGACAGGGGTGCTTTCATTGATCAGCTTTTATCTATTCATGTAAAACATTTATCCCAAAAGAAAAAAACAAAACCAGGCGCACTCTCCTCGTGCATTAATGCAAAAACCATAAATTTATTAAAAAGATGCAAAAACATACTCAAGCCATAAAGGTCATAAAAACAGAGACAAGAAGTCAAAGGTGCCAATCGTGGACAGCATGCGTCCTCGGATAAAGTGCTAACGCATCTCGGGAGTTGAACTCCCTTCCATCTATTGCTCTGAGGAAGGGAGTTCGACTCCCGAGACACGTTTGCACTTTATCTGAGGACGCATACTGTCCACGATTGGCACCTTTGACTTCTTGTCTGCGGTATATTACATTTTTGGTTTGGGGTTTAATAACGCTTTGAACCACTTTCTGTCGAGGCCAATTCTTGCTAGAAAATTACTTAGAATCCCAAACATTATATATTTTCTGAAAACAAAGGTACTGGGCAACAAAAAAGTTGGTTGTTGCAATTTTTTATGTCACATATTTGTGCAGCGGTTAATCAAACACAAATTTTCAGGATAAAAAACACTTTAATGAATTTTAGTGCACACAAACACAATATGATGATTCTTGGTAAAATATAAAATATGATGTTATGCTGAGTAAATAGATACTTAACATGTCATGTTTTAAAATTGCATACATCCATGGAATGGCACCAAACTTCATTACCTAAAAAATCGCCATAGGCAACGCTTTAAAAGCCTTTACAGCTTACCAGTTTAGAGGTAAAGAAGAGGCGTAGCTCCAGAATTATTGCTCCCACTCTGACAGCTGCAGCAATACCTTGTGTGGTGCGATCAATGTTGACCTGTGTGGGATCTATGTGCATGTGAGCATTTGCGTGTGAGCACTATTTACATTTATTTTTTACGATTTCTTTTTTTTTTTTTTTTTTTTCAACTTTATTGCTGTCATATAAAATTTAAAAAACATCCCTTGTGATTGAATGGGCAGAGACAGGTACTCTTTATGAAGAAATCTGAGGTCTATTAGACCCCAGATCTCTCCTCTGCTCTCCAGATCAGCTGATCAAACTGAGCCATTAATGGCTTGTAAATATACATCCAAAACCAAACTCCTCGTCGGTGTGTTTCTTATGTCACATAAGAGATCCTCCCACTCTTCAGTGTCCTTCCAATGTGACAGGTCACATTGGTCCCAAGATTCCAGATGGAATGGGAGAGCTTGGGAATAGAGGCAGCGGAAGGAGAGGGGTTCCCAGGCCCCCACCCCACTCCCCGCACATCCTGTAAAAGTGATCAGGCGGCTGTAGAGCTGCTCAGATCACTTTTACAAGGAAGAGAATCGCAGGCTACAAATTTTGATACTAGGATCATGGCTGCAGCTACATCCATAATCTTGGTATAACCACTTCCACCCGAGGACACGCGGGTACATCCTAAGGGCTGGAAGTGGTTAACTTTATTCACTATAACTATATAATAATTACCTGCACACAATTCATAAATATGTCATAGATATGTTGTGCTTTGTTACTCCAGCACCTGGCAAGTCTAACCTGGACCAAGTGATTACAGTGGAGGGCCTACGGAAGAGATCTAGAGGAAATCCAGTGGAATCGGCTATAGAGCTCAAAGAGAAGCGATCGCGTACACAAGAAGCAAAGGACATCAGGAAAGCACAGAAAGAGGCCAGCAGCTTTGGTGATCGGAGCACATCATCCACTCCTGTAAAGTTTTCAAGCCGGAACCGCAGACCAGATATTGTGTTAGAGAAAGGGGAAGTAATAGACTTTTCATCTATGAGCTCTTCTGATCGGACACCCATGACTAGTCCATCTCCTTCTCCATCTTTGGATTTTTCAGCTCCTGGAACGCCAGCATCTCACTCTGCTACTCCCAGCCTGCTGTCAGAGGCTGATCTAATCCCTGATGTCATGCCACCCCAAGCATTGTTTCATGGTTAGTGCTTCCTAATTGGGTTTATTGTAGATGGCATGTTTAAAGGATATGTCCACCATTAGTAACATGTTAAATATACAGGGTGTAATATGTAATGTGTTACTAATGCACCTACCGTCACCCTGACCCGATCCCCCATTGTGACAGCGGGCAGGGATCTTCTCCATGCTCCCGCTGTCACAAATCAAATAGAGCGTGGTTGTGCTGGGCTCTGCCCTCACAGCTGCGTCATTCATACACAGAGTTCCATGAATGAATGAACTGCATGTACCATCAGCCATTGCAGCAGACAGCCTGTAGTTTCCAGTGAACGGTTAGGGCTCTTGTGAGTGCTCTTGTAGTTCATTGATTTTCCTGGATGTCAGTAACTGCCTCTCCATATGGGAGGTATGGGCAGATAGCTGATTGAGAGTATGCAGAAGCATGACATTGCACCTACGATCTGATCGCGAGTGCAAAGCTTTGCAGGCTTCCAAGAAAAAAAAAATTGCACTTTTTATTACCTGCTTTTGTTGATTTTGTGTGTGGTGTTTTTTTGTTTTTTTTTTAGGTGAACCTTTAAATATATTGGTAATCTGTGTAACCAGTGAAAACAGGTCACATGCTGAGAATTTCCCTCAATGAATATTGCTGTGTTTATTACTTACTGACGCAAAATTAGCAATTCTGAAATTGTGACCTGATTGGGGAGCTTGGGCAATAAAGCTAAGAAAAATTGCTTTGTTGAAAGCAGTTTCAGGTAATCTGTTTCTTTGCAGATGTCATCAATTCTCATCATGTCATTGTAGCCTTTCTTTGACAGCGCCTGTCATTTCCTGGTTTCAGACCTTAGATGGTTCAGTGCTTTCCATTGATGAGCTTTTCTTTAAGTAGATGGAAGGCCTAACTTGATGACATTTATTTTGCCAAAGCACTGTATATAATAATATACAACAGTCATGCTAAACTGTACAGCCAGAAAAGTGACAGCACCATTTTTATTTCTGGCTTTACAGTATCCTGTTTCAACTGCTTGCTCATTGGATGGCAAGCTCACACTGCTGAGTCATAGTCCAAAAACAGGCAGGTGACACAAGTGTAGGGTTTGAAACAAGTCTGGCATTAAACTCTGTTTATGAGTGTATTTAATTGTGAATTTAGCAATTTGCCTGGAGTTCTGCCATAGGGATTCTCTGTAATGCCCCATAGGTTTAAAAGTTTTTCAGATACCGTTTTTCATATTAAAGCTGTACAAGCAAGAGCACAGTGTTAAGTCTTTTGACACCTTCTTTTTTGTTAATTTTTGTTTTTGTGGACCCTTTTCAGATGATGAAGAGATGGATGCTGATGGTGTCATTGATCCTGGGATTGAATACATTCCTTCTCCAAATGTTATTCATTCTACTCCTATTAGTCGAAAGAACTACAAGTCATCTGTCCATGTGAAACAAGAAATAGAGAGCGAAGAGGAGAAAATGGAGCGGTTAGAGAGTGAATTGCATGGGGGTCCGTCCATTGAGAGAATGCGGGACAAAAGGAGACCTCAACCAATTGAGAGAAACAGAAGAAGAAGCACTCAGTGCCACGCTTTAAGTTTGTATGAAGAAAAGCTGCTGCTAAAACGTCTAGAGGCATGTCCTAATGCTGTAGCAGTAACTCCAGAGGCCAGGAGACTCAGACAAAAACTGTTGATGCGCAAGGCCAAGCGGGAAAGGGGTCTGCCTATTTTAGAACTGGACCAGGCAGTGAATGCAGCTCTGTCACTTGTTGGAGGAGTATATGGCGCTAGAGAAAGCTCTGTTTCTAGGGCATTACTCCCTGGTGCAGAGTACACCCGAACAAACAAAGACATGAGAATACTGGATAGGTACCAAGTAAGTTCCATCCAGCAAAACCTATTACTGTTGGTTTGCTTACAGGAGCTTATTAAAGAAAAGGCTCAGATGTGTAAGCCGAAGAGATGTGCTGGTTCATGAAATTTGTTCTGTTTAAATTTGGTAGCCAGAGCAGGTTTTATTCTTCTATCTGTGGGAACCCCCCCCTGTCCATGCTGGCCAGTTATTGTCTGAGGGAACAGTGGATCAGGATGGTTAGAAAATAAGTCCTAGTTGATATGATCTTCCTATAAATCCTGGCATTATCTGCAAGTCCTGTCCATCCCCTCTCCTTCACAAGATACAGTAGGCCCATTCACACAGACGCACTGATCAGTACCCACATGCCAAGGGCTCTTTTGTCGTCCCCCCAGGAGACACAGGTGGTCCCTGCATCCAGCCTGTTCAAATCAATGACAGGTGGATACCTACATGGATCTTCACGGATCCTCGCACACGTCCTTGAGTGTATATCTGTGCAGGATCGAAGCACAGCTTCGAACACAGTCTGTTTGCTTTCTGAACCACACATTGGTCCTGTACAGATGTACAAGCAGGGATGTGCATATGAAGATAAAAGCAGCCGCCCACCTGTCATCACTTGGACAGCCTGACTGCACTGACCAACTTTTGTTTCCGGGCAGGTAAGTAGAGCCCTCTGCATGGGTGTATGGGTCTGAGCGCTGATGTAAATGAGGCAAAACAACTAAGCTTGTGCAGGATGTGGGCCTAACGGTGGTCAGATAATGCAGGTACATCTACTGTCCTTGAACGATTTGAACCTGCCTTTGTTTAACCCTTTCACTACCTGGCCCTGCGCTCCACTTTTAAACTCAGGAGGCCAGGCTATTTTTGCAATTTCTCAATTGCTTTTTTATTTTTCCATCACAGCTTTTAGAGTTTGTAAAAGACCAACCAAAACTACATATTTTTTTGCAAGCACATGACCAGTAGAATAAAAAGACGTTGCTACTGAATTTTAAGACCCCACAATATTTGCGCAAATTTTTATCAAAACAGTATTTTCGCTAAAAATACACTAAAATCATTATTAGAAGATACAAACACAGCAAAGTTTACAAAATTCCTGCTACATTTCTACTAAATATAAAAGCTTAACCTGTATTGCGTTAATAAATAAATATTTGTACATTTTAAATTGTGCTTTTATTGCATAATGAAAATCGAACATACGCAAACATGTCTTTAACAATCTGAAGGTTTTAATTTTTCATTTACAGCTTTCAGAGTTTGTAAAAGACCCCCCCCCCCCCCCAAAAAAAAAAAAACAAAAAAAACAAAAACTATATATTTTTGAAAGCACATGACCAGTAAAATGGTGCTAATGATTTTTTTAGGCCTCACAATAGTTTATCAGTTCTCTGTTTTCACTAAAAAACCCCCCCACTAAAATCCTTATTAGCACACATAAACACAACATAACTTACAAAATTCCTGCTAAATTTCTACTAAGGTTTCATCCAATGCGGTGTGCTAAATTGTATTCCCATGGAGGGCTGTGCTTACCCATATAAGAATATATGGGTGTTCTGTGCAGGCAGTCCTATTCATGTCAGTTGGGAAGCAGCTTCAAAGAAAGATCTGACGTCCCTGTGGGTATAGGTGCATGGCCCCAAACGCAGACCGTATGAGTTGAGGAACATTTGCCGACATGGTTATCAAGTGTCCCAATTGATATGGATGGGAGTCTCTGCACAGGAATGCACAAAACACCTGTGCATTTCAGTGCAACTTCTGTGTCCCAATTGACATCAATGGTACTGCCTACAAGGGAAAGCACAGAACACCTGTGCATTCCTGTGCAGCTAAACATGGCCCTGCAGTAGTATGCCCCGCGTGAACAAGTCCTTAGGCTTTGTCTAGACTACCGGTTTGGGGAGCGGCAAACATGCATGGTTGAGCTGTGCTTCTGACACCCACCAAACAACCGCCAAATTTATTTATTTTTTTAGGAGCATGCAGAGCATTGCTGGTGCGATATCAGGCTCCTGCAGACACTGCCTATACCTCTGTACGGGCTTTCTGTTTTGGAAGCTGTAGGAAGTGTCAGAGCACTCACTATTGACCTCGCAGTTCATTGAGAATTACAAACCATCTGCTGTGGTGGCAGACAGGACAGGGAATCGGGGAGTGCGGGCAATTGCTGTATGGTAACATGTTAAACCCAAAATATGGGTATAACATGTTACTAAAGTTAAAGTTATCCTTTAACACATGTTGCATTGTGTTGGGTCTTTCATTTCCAATGCACCTACTATGGCATCAATGCACCTGACTTTTTGTTATTCCACACAGCACTCTGCAGTGCATATATGTATTCTTTATTGCATGGGTTGTGGCGCTCTCTGGGGTAGATACATTTTTAGCCATGTATGTGCATTGTGGAGCCAAAGACAATTAATGTTTGCGCACGTCTATAAGTGTGTAGCCAGACTTAGTGCACAGCTTTCCACTGAATTTTCAGTATAGGCCATTTATATATTGGTATGTAAAATCATTCCTTACAGGATCCTATGTGATGATCTTCTGGCACACAGCACAGGCAGGGGGCTACTGAAGGTGGTTGCTAATTATCTAGGGGGGATGGGGATCATGGGGATAAGGCTATATAGATGAGTGATCTTCATGTCCATGTTCATCTTTATATTTTCTGGCTGAATAGATGAAGCCCTGAAAGTCACAGAATTTGACAGAAATAAGTCAACTGCAGCCAGTCAATGCTGTTCTTTACATGTGTATATTTTTTGTCTTCATTGATAGTGTGCTGTGCCAGTCAGAAGAGAATTACAATATTCCTCGGCAAGTTTTTTGTGTCGTCTTGGTGTAGCTGAAGACAAACTGGCGGATCTTAGCATAGTGAGTCCCTACACTGCTCGGGTTCTGAAGCCTTATATAAGGTAATCTCTCAGAGACTGTATCTTCGTTATCCTATATCAGTATCAGCTCATTAAAGGAAAAGTTAGCATTTGCAGCCTCTACATTTCACTTTATTGATAGTCTATGCAGGTAATGAGGAACTCCAACCCAAACAGTGGGAGAGATTTACTATAACTGGTGCTGTCTGTATCCCTTTTAGGAACATTCATCTTCTCTCTTTGTCCTGGTGACCATTGTCATCGGGACTAAAGGAGTGGAAAAATGAAAAATTAGTTGTCACCAGAACAGGTGAAATTTCCCAAAAGTGGGCCTTCTTCTGGTGGCAAATTCCTAAGGGGGAATCTTTCCCTTCTGTATACAGGGCATGAAGTGAAAGCGACAGTAGATAGCAGTGAGCACAGGGCCAGTGCTGGAGGTGGTGGTATTCCGTTCCGCCTCATCATGTCTGAGAAAAAGCCCTGGTGTTAACTATTCCCTACTTCCTACATGGTCCAAAATGGAAGAAAATGTGTGTGTGTGTGTGTGTGTGTGTATATATATATATATATATATATATATATATATATATATATATATATATATATATATATATATCAATCAACAGACACACTGCTCAAAGAAATTAAAGGAACACTTTTTAATCACAGCATAGCATCAAGTCAAGTAATCACCTGGGATATTGATCTGGTCAGTTAAGTAGCAAAGGGGGTTGTTAATCAGTTTCAGCTGCTTTGGTGTTAATGAAATGAACAACAGGTACACTAGATGGGCAACAATGAGATGATCCCCAAAACAGGAATGGCTTTACAGGTGGAGGCCACTGACATTTTTTTCCTACTCATCTTTTCTGACAGGTTTTCAATAGTTTTGTATTTGGCTATGATTAGTGTCACTACTAGTAGCATGAGGTGATACCTGGACCCTACAGAGGTTGCACAGGCAGCCCAACTCCTCCAGGGTGGCACATCAATACGTGCCATTGCCAGAAGGTTTGCTGTGTCTCACAGCACAGTCTCAAGAGCATGGAGGAGATTCCAAGAGACAGTTACTCTATAGGAGACAGGGCCGTAGAAGGTCCTCAACCCATCAGTCGGACCGGTATCTGCTCTTTTGTGCAAGGAGGAACAGGATGGGCACTGCCAGAGCCCTACAACATGACCTCCAGCAGGCCACTGGTGCGAATGTCTCTGACTAAACAATCAGAAACAGACTTCATGAGGGTGGCCTGAGGACCCGATGTCCTCTACAGGGCCCTGTGCTCACTACCCAGCACCATAGAGCTCAATTGGCAGTTGCCAGTGAACACCAGAATTGGCAAGTCTACCACTGGTGCCCTGTGCTTTTTACAGATGACAGCAGGTTCACCCTGAGCACATGTAACAAACATGAAAGGGTCTGCAGAAGCCGAGGAGAACATTATACTGCCTGTAACATCGTTCACTATGACCGTTTTTGGTGGTGAGTCAGTGATGGTCTGGGAGGCATATCCATGGAAGGACGCACAGACCTCTACAAGCTAAACAATGGCACCCTGACTGCCATTAGGTATCGGGATGAAATCCTTGGACCCATTGTCAGACCCTACGCTGGTACAGTGGGTCCTGGGTTCCTCCTGGTGCACGACAATGCCCGGCCTCGTGGCGAGAGTATGCAGGCAGTTCTTGGAGGATGAAGCAATTGATACCAATAAATGGCCCCCACTCTCGCCTGACCTAAATCCAGCAGAACACCTCTGGGATATCATTTTCCGGTCTATCTGACGCCGCCAGGTTGCACCTCAGACTGTCCAGGAGCTCAGTGATGCCCTGGTCCAGATCTGGGAGGAAATACCCCAGGACACCATTTGCCATCTCATTAGGAGCATATCCAGATGTTGTCAGACATGCATACAAGGACGTGGGGGCCATACAAACTACTGAGTACCATTCTGAGTTGGTGCAATGAAATTTCTGAGGCATAATTTTTTCACTTTGATTGTTGAGGTGTTAATTAATTCAGTCCTCTGTTGATTATTTTTATTTTCCATCAAACGACAAGGCATCATTGCATTCGTAACACATTACCCAGTCCATATCCGTATAGATATCCAGCATGATATTTTTCCCCATTGAGATCTGATGGGTTTTCCTACAGGTATATAAGTGAGTTGTCTATAACTATTACTCAATATTTTCCTTCAATATTCCAATACAGGTGAAATGACTAAAAATCCTCTTGTTATGGGGAGCACAGCTGTTTATCCAGACATTTTAATCTGTCGGATATATTCACACAATAGGCAAGAATTTTTTTTAATTGACTGCATCTCCACTGGAGAGATTTCCCTTCACTTACTGTCTGTGTGACATGTCACCAGGGCAGGAAATGAGGAGAAATCTTTCCAGCAAATCCACAGAGAGAAATAAAAGCCTGGCAGAGATGCTAATGCTGGGCATAGACCTTTTCCAGCATGCCCCTTTGACAGAAGTTGATCAAATGATGGCCTTCTGTTGAACAGAGACAGCCACATGCTGATCGAGATTCAGCCAGTCCCTGCTGAACCTGCTGAATTTCGATCTGTCTATGGCCAGCTTAAGCATTCCCAGTTCCAGAAAAAAAGGGGTTTTGTATTCAAGATGTCCTTACTACCTGTCACAGTGCTTCAAAATGAAGGAAAACCTCCACAAAAAGGAGATGCAGACAGCATAAAAATAAGTTAATCTATTGCACAGTAGAGCCAAAGAAAAGACATCCATCTTCTTAGGACACTAGAAACTAAGGCAATACTGGTAATGGAATGGGTTATCCTGGGGTAGCCTACAATTTTTCTTTGCCAGTGTCCAGCCTTCCTGTAGGCCGCAGTATACCCTGAAGGTTTAAGACTTCCTGTGTCCCTTAATGAGCAAAAATGTATATTTTTTTTTTTTGTAGCACCCGGTTTTGTTCTTTGATAGTCTCTTTAATCAAACTCTTCTCTACATTGCTGTCGGAGATTATTTGATTACAGCTCACTAGAGCAGTCATCCTCAGTTTGGCTTTTGGAGTACTGTGTCTGGACACTGCTGGACTGGACATTGTGAGCACTTGCTGATTCTCAGCCGCTGGCATTGCCTCAGTGCTTGCCCGTGTCTGAAGACTCACTTAGTGAGTAGGTCAGGTGTGCCAAGCAACAGGAGCCCCTTTATTCCCTGGTCCTGCTTTGCTGGGTGCCTCCAGCTGACATTCTGATACATGTTTCAGGGCTACTTGCAGTGCTCCTACTGATGCTTTCCAGCCTGTAATCAGGTGGATGTGGTATGCTGAATTGGTATGACTCCTGGCAAATACTCTGTGGGCTCTAACAGATCCTCTGGATCTTATGCCCAAAGGACCAATTTGCCATTCTGCTTCACTGTCGCTCGCTTTAATGGCATGGTTGCTGAAGCACAGGTTCTGAGTGATAGGGGCATCTCTGTTTTCTTTTCGTTCATGTGATGCTAAAAACTAGGAGGTCTACTTCTCCCAAGGTCTGTCATCAAACATAGAAGACATAATTCAGTTGGCATGAGTCTTGGTGCTTCCACCCTAGGAGTTCCTCCATGGGATGAGGTCTCTCCTTCCTAAAGCTGGGTCTGGACCAGTGCTCGCTGTCAGCATTATCAGAGTTCCGATTCTGCCCTTTCTATTCTGTTTCAAAGATTGTTGTCCTCTCACTTTTTAAGACCTTTTGTAGAGGGGATCTGCCAAGTAACTCTGAATTCGGTACTCTCTGCACTTCAGAAACCATGGTTTACACCCATTATTGACATTCTTTTCTCTCACAAGCTAGTGTGTCTTTTTGCCTTTACCTCCACGAGGTGAATGTCTGCAAAAGTGACCTTATCATACAAGGAACCCTTTATGGTTCTGTATAAGAATAAGGTGTTTTTGAGGCCCAGGACTTCCTTCGTAATTAGGGTAGTTTTTTGCTTTTCGCTTCAATCAGGACACTGTGGTTCAGTCCGTTTCCAGTTCACGAAAAGGAGTTTTCCCTCCATTGTCCTCAATTGTGGTTCAGCCACTGCTTTTTGTTGCATCCCCGGGGGCCCTATAAGAGTGAACCAGCTTCTTGTTCCAACATCTTTAGGTGGCTTAGGCAGACCATCATCCAAATTTTAGTCTCAATGTGTGGGTACCACCCATTTCTGTCATGGTGCACCCTACTAGATCTGTAAGTGAATGAATTTTGGGCTTTTTGGTATAAAGCAACTGTTTCCCGGATTTGAAATGCTGCCATCTGGTCCAACGTTCACACTTTTTCGAAATTCTACCAGATGGTTGATGCATCTCATATAATGCCAGCTTCAGGCTTAAGGACCTTCAGATGGCTGTTGGAGCTGCTGGCAGTCCCTGATTCTCTTCTGTTTTGCTGGGTCTGTTAGTGCTTGTCTGTTCTCTTGCAAATTTCTGGATTGCTTTTGGAACTCCTGTGTAAAGACTTCCTGTGTGCCTCAATGGACATTGAAATGAAAAGAACGAAAATAGGATTTTTGTACTCACTGTAAAATCCTTTTCTTGGAGGCTTTTGAGGGACACAGGTCCCAGGCCTCTCTGTTTATGACCATGCTCTCTTTACTGCTTTGTTACAAAACTGGAGAATGCTGGTAGAGGAGAGGTTATTCTGTACAGTTGTCCTGTACGTGGTAGTATAACCAACAGAAGACCTTATGTCCTTCAATGGACTCCAAGCAAAGGATTATATGGCAAGTCCACAAAGTGTATTTTTGTCTAAGGTTGCACTTTAAGGACTTATTTACAATTGTTCATTTTTTGTGCAGTTAGCCCTTTCATTTAAAGGGTCTAATCAACACTTTTTTATTCAATTTATTGTGTATTACCTTGTAAGTTAAAATCACAGTAAAAGTTATTTAAATAATGTACCAATTTGTACATTCTCATTCTTATTTTTTATGTAATCTAACTTGTGAAGAGCCAGGTAAAATGACAATGTACCTAGCAGTTTATGCAGTTTCTGACTCCTTCAAGTGGTGAAAAATCTTTCCTAATTGGCCATTATTCTTTCATTTGCTAGGCGTGACTATGAGACCAGACCCTACAGGCTGCAGCTGTTGTCTGAGATCCGAGCACAGTCCCATAGAAATGATCCTGACTGGGTACCAGAGCCTGAATCTCCCATAGACTATTGCTATGTCCGTCCTGGTCACATTCCCAGCATCAATTCCATATGTCAGCAATTTTTCTGGCCAGGTAAGTTGACAAGTTGATGTGTCTGTTTTACTTTTCCAATACACCATCTTGTGTGTGCACATCTTACACGACTAAGAAATATGGTAGTTGAGGCTGTATATTTAAAGAGTTAGGGACTTTAGATTGTACGCCCCTTGAGAGTTAGGGACTGATGTGAATGTACAATATATGTATGTAAAGCGCTGTGTAAATTCACGGCGCTATATATGTACCTGAAATAAATTAATAATAAAGTGTATGTCCAGACAAAACATATTTTGGTTTGGGAAGAGGGGGGAAAGGATTAGAACCCCTGTCTGAATTTTGAATGTACCCCTGTCTGATGTGAATGTACAATATATGTATGTAAAGCGCTGTGTAAATTCACGGCGCTATATAAGTACCTGAAATAAATAAATAAATAATAAAGTGTATGTCCAGACAAAACATATTTTGGTTTGGGAAGAGGGGGAAAGGATTAGAACCCCTGTCTGAATTTTACTACTTTCTCTGTTAGAGAAAGTTCCCCTCCACTTTCTGCTTTGCTGAAAACTGTATCCCCAAAAGGAAAGTGAGGGAAAATCCGCAACTGGTACACAGGCAGTAATAAAAAGTTGATGGGACTTTAGCCTTCACAGCTCTACCCGAGGCATTTCCTTTGGAGCCCAAGCTAGTTCTGAAAGCCGTTTGATCCCCCCCACCACCCTACTCTTTTCAGTACTAAAAAAATACAAGTTTTTCCAGGACATACACCTCAGTTAAGCCAACAAGGAAAGAGGTAAATAAAAAGGCAACTTTTGCATTTCTGTAATGACAGGTGTCCATCTTTGCACAGGATCCATCTGTTGGTAAACAAAGTAATGGTCTGCATTATGAAAGGTTTGCTCACTTGCAGTAAAACACAGGTGTGGTCTGTACAGGGTGGATTTGATTTAAATCAAACTGATTTAAATCACTAGTCAGTAAGGCTTGATTTAAATCCTAGTTTTCTACATAAAGACTAATTCTTGCTGGTATAACTTTAATATGCAAGTAGATGAAGATTTTTAGAATAACAACTTTTCATATTAGTTTTTTTATCCCCAGTTTAATAGGTTAATCATTCATATTTGGACAACTTTTCTGTTGTACTTAGGAAGGAGAAAAATAATCATTACCTTAATAATAACAATTTAAATAGATTTATTCAACTGAAACAATAACATTCCAGCATATGTTATTTGCTTAAACATCCATGTTTGTTAACTAATTTGGCTAAACAAAATATATATATTTTAAGAAACTTAGACTTTCAGCCCCTTCCTCCTCACACTTAGTTTCACTGTCTTCTTGTGCAGATCTATTCCACTCCAAACAATGAGAAAAATATTGTTTCTATTCTATTCACTGAACTTTTTGAAACTTAGCACTGAAGGGGTTGATTCTGTATTCATAGGTTTGTAGAAGTTAGGATTAAGGTCTTTTTCTTAACTCTGTTCATGTTATAACATTTTTGCTGTGAAGAAGAGGCATGTGATCTCCGCTGAGTCAAATTCAGTTTTGAGAACTGCAAAAGTAAACCAAGCATCTGTGATAATATCTTGTAGGCAGAGAAACTGCCCAATAATCTTACAAAAACCTCTGGAAGAGCATGACATTGTGAATGGATTAATGGAATTTATTTACCAAAAAAATTAAACATATACAGCCTTATTCTACATAATTACAAAACTAATCTTTATTTCATGATGGAATAACCTTTGGATGGTAATATATTTTCCTCAAAAAGCATTTTATTCAAAAAAATCCGATTTAAATCAAAAAAATCCGATTTAAATCAAAATCTGATTTAAATAAAAAAATTTTAAAAAATCATTGATTTTTTATCTACACTGGGTCTGTAGATACCAGGGGAGATCACATTCAGCTTAGTGTGATAGCTCTTGCCATGATCTTTCATGCACAGAAGGGACATTTTTTCTGTTCTGCTTGATAAGTCTGTATTTGAAAGATTAACATCCACATTGTTACATCATACAGAGTGCTGGGTCACACCAGAGGAAAATATCAATTTTTTATGGATGTATAAAGAGTGACCTGTTTAATTGTCTGTTATGAAGTCAATAAAAAAAGTGACAGTGTAATTTTTTTTTCTTGTGTGCAGGCATTGATGTCTCTGAATGTCTCCAGTATCCAGATTTCAGTGTGGTGGTTCTGTACAAGAAGGTCATTGTTGCCTTTGGCTTTATGGTGCCTGATGTGAAGTATAATGAGGCATACATTTCATTTCTCTTTGTCCATCCAGAGTGGAGGCGATCTGGAATTGCCACATTTATGATTTACCATCTCATTCAGGTAACCAGCAATAAGTGCTAACTTACAATTCCATAGACCTTTTATAGTTGTCATGTTGGTGGTTTCCTTGTTCCAGTGGAAAGAAACATCTTGTTAGCTCAACCAAGTTTAAAGGAGTGCTCCATTAATTGGTTACATGTTGTCAGGAAATGTGCTTTGTGTATTTTTTCTTTTTATTGTGTGATGCTGAAGGTCATGAACACAAAGAGTCTGTCACCTGCCCATACAGCAAGGTAAGCTCACCCAGCCACACTCCCTCACCTTCTTACCATTGCAGGAGTCAATTCAGGGTAAGCTCCCATGTAGGATGGTGTGGAAGCTGACCAGGGTGGATGACACTGTCTATCCCGATGTGATATTGCTTAGGGTTGGTGAATAGCCGCTTATGCCCAAGCATTGTCACACGGGAGGTCACATGATCCCCCTTACGTGGAAGCCCTGCTGGACAACAGGCCAAAGGTCTGATGGACCGTAGATTAATGAATATAATTTCCAGAAGAAGGCGGGCTATTAGCAGACATATCTATTTTCATTTAAGTCTGTTAAAGGTTGAAAATAAGTTCTCAGATGCACCTTCTGAAGACTTCAGATACTGTAAATATACTAAACGATCACTGAATCAGAATACTTTCTGTGCAATGACCAGTTGTGTATGCACAGCAGCAAGAGTATTCTCCTCCTTCCCAAGCACTTGTTTAACTGGTTTGATGGAATAGTCCTAGCTCATGAAAACAAACACCTTTTTCCAAAAAAGTTAAAGAAAACTATAGTGAAAAAAATCACATACTTTGCAAATGCTGACCTCCTTGTAAAAATGCTAACTGTCTGTCTGTCACTGCCTTTTTGATGTCACTGACCCAGAACAAGTGTGAAGCCATTGGAGTGGAACTCTTGATCTGAGACAGATAAAACTTTGGTGATATTTATTCACCACTGGGATTTTTTACTATATAAATGAAAAAGTCCAAAAATTTTGAAAAAAAAGTGTTTTTCTTATAGAATTTTGCAAATAAATAATCTTTCTTCATAAATCTTGGCCAAAATGTATTCAATTATCTTTCTAGTAAAAAAAAAAATAACCCAAATTAGTTTATAACCAAAAATTATAATTTAAAAAAAATTTTTTTTTACCTTTTTTTTTTTTATTATTATTATTTTTTTTTTAACATACTGTCACCCTTGCAGTACAGTGTCACCATAGTGACACTGTACTACTTGTGGGGGGTGATGAAGATTTTTTTTTTTTTTTTTTTACATGGATTGCTTTTACACTCATAAAGGCAGCCATTAAGAAATACTGTGTGAGCTGTGATTGGTCACAGCTTGTCACATGGTACAAGGCTGTTGTGAATAGCCTTGTACCATGTGACCTCTGTGATCATTCACAGATTTCACTAGTAGTAAGCAATGATGTCAGAAGTGACATCTTGCTTACTACTATTCATGTGATCACTGATTGGCCAGTCAGTGATCACATGATTGGGACCTTACACAGAGATCCCTTACAGCAGTCGGTGTTCCGCTGTGTCCGGAGGACACAGTGGGCCCCGGATCGCGGTGCTGCTCGCTTCCAGGGAGCTCGCATAGGCTAAAATGGTGGGTGCCGTTTATGAACGGCAACCAACTCCTGCACTGCTCCCATCTGGCCGTTTATATACATGGGCTGGACAGGAAGTGGTTAAAATGGGACCTTTTGGTAATTTTACAGTTGGAAAAATGTAAGAGTTATAGAGAAAAAGAACTAAATCAGGGGTGTCAAACTCAATTTCATGGCAGGCCGCATCAGCATTATGGTTGCCCTCAAAGGGCCAGTTGTATATGTAAGACTAGATGTCCAGAGCACCCCACCCTCCCTTACATCACAGTGCACCCCCTTGCCTTGTACTGCTGCCAGGAAGAAGCTGGAGGCAGAGCTGGGAAGCACAAAGTGCAGGGTCTGGAGGAGGAGCAAAGGAGGGCTGGAGTCAGCTGCTGAAGTCTGCAGGGTAGGTGGAGACAAAAGGGTGCTGCAGCTGCACAGAGATGTGCAGGATCTGTAGGAGGAGGTCTGTCCTCCTGTCTGCTCCAATTGCTGAGAGCAAGGGTGGGGGGATTGCAGAAATGTGCCTCTCTGTGGCTGCATGGAGAAGATCAGGATCTGGCAGGATTCTGTTGATTGCTGAGACAAGGTGGAAACGAAGGAGTGCCACAGCTGCAGGAGAGGTCTGAGGACCACATGAAATGGCCTGGAGGGCCAGATTTGGTCCTCAGGCCTTGCGCTTGACACCTGTGAACTAAATTATGCAAATGGTGAATTTGTTGTTGGTAAAAAAGAATTGTAATGAAAAAAAGTGCTGTGTAGTCTCATTACCTTTGTCTTCCAGTGCTCTGGGCTATTTTCTCATGGTCTGTTCTCTATTGAACTTTTTCTGATAGACCTGTATGGGGAAGGACGTTACTCTACACGTGTCTGCAAACAATCCAGCAATGTTGCTTTACCAGAAGTTTGGATTCAAGACAGAAGAGTACATCCTTGATTTCTATGACAAGTACTACCCTGTAGACAGCAAAGAGTGCAAAACATGCCTTCTTCCTGCGCCTGCGGAGGTGATGACACACGGATTTAGTTTTGTTGACACCATTGTGAACTTTTTTTTTCTTTTTTAAGACCAGCTGCCCACCCAAACAGTACATGGTGATAATTGTTTCTATTATATTTCCGCGAGAGCATGGACGGTGTAATATATCTGAAAATGCTTTTTCACTGTAGCTACTTGTGGGAAACAATTTTATTGGAACAGTAAAAAGTCAGGTGTGAAGCTGGGGCTGCAGTTTTGACTTCTCTTCATAGACTGCCTCTGTGTAATTAATGAATATATTGCATTAAGAAGACTTCCAGAACTGCAGCTTGGACTGTACAGTGGATCTGAACCCAAATAAATGAGGATATGCTATGATATAGGGGACATTTAGAAATGGTAATTGTGCCTAACCAGTACTCTGAAAAATGTCCTTTTTGTCTGGAATTTCTATTGAAAAACAGCAGTGCACTTCTTGGTATGTGAGGGTATAGTATGTGCATCCAGCCTCATAGCAGTATACCCACAGTTATCTAAAGCTGGGTATATTTTTTTTTTTTTTTTCGTTTAACCAACCAGTTGAATGATTAAAAAAAAATACAGATACCAGCATCCGCTCAAGCAATGTGGATGCAGGGATCTCCGCTGCTCTGTTGTAGTCTACCACAGATCAGCTGTACACAGGTCTGGTTTTCCAGCACATTCATTTAACAGAAGCCATCATTAGACCGGCTTCTATTGAACAAAGAAGAGTAGACCTGTACTGAAGTTGGCTGTTTAGTACGTGTGTACCCGGCTTAAGATACTGCTGCCTGGAACTGGCTCTAACTGATAGCTTCATGTGATTTGTGGTGGAATTTGGTGATGTCCCTAATTTGCTGTTCACTGTTTTCCTTTGGAGGAGGCTCTAACAAGAAGCAAAGTTCTGCCTCTTCCAAGATAGCTGCCTCCACACAGACACCAATCTTTTGCCTTTGGTCTATCTTTTTTGAAGCACAGCTTTCAGAGTTCAGTTCCTCTTGAAAGGCTAAATTCACTTTTAAAAAATATAAATGCACACATTTTTTGTAGGGGAAAAAAAGTGCATTTATTTAATTTTTTTTTTTTCACAAGAGCCTGCAAAGCAATGCATCCATGATCTGTGATTAGTTGGTGCAATGCCAGGCTCCTGCAGACTTCCTCCGGCTCCCTACCAATACCAAGGTACGTTGTTTCAGTTGAAGAGCTGGAGAAAGCATCAGTGGACCATGACCGTTGTGATTACTGCACTTGTATTATATTTAGAACTATGCACAATGTTTAGGCCTCTGTTCTCAGCTTCATAATGAGCTCGGGGAGCTGGATGAGGAGAAACCGTAGCACACTGATCTTCCAAAGGTAAATGGCTGTGAATGGGGGGGTGTCAGCACAAGTATGATCATTGGAGGAGAGCAGGCTGAGTTCCAGCACAGCCAGAAAACTGTCCATGCTGTGCTCTCCTACCTAGTGTGGTCAGCTTTTAATAAGAAAGCAGAGGGTCTGACCAGAACACCACGGATTTCACACACAGGAAGCAATGCAAAGAGAACAGGATACTTTTTCATACAAATACTTGGTACAACAGGCACAAATCAGGAATATGACGTGTTGGGTTTACATATTCATTAAATGTCTTATTGAATTTAACATGGGACCAGCTCGATAAAGTCACTTACAGCAAGGATAAGAGTGTGTGGGCCTCTTTACGTTGACTGTATGGGGTCTTCGGAATATATCATGAACAGTTGCTGGAGGACACAGGAGGCAGCAAGTGCTCTGAAATCATTTTGTGAGCATCTACCCAGCTTCATCAGAAGCAGTTCGCAAATTATATTGCTATATTGTAAAACAACCTTCATTTTGATATCCCCAAAATTACTCTAGAATGTTGTAAAGAATGTGAACTGGGAGGGGGGGGGATGAAAAAAATCTCACTAATGTAAAGCACTGTTACTCTCATTGTAGGATGATTAAATAGTGATTGTTTTCTAGAATTGTATTAATAAATCGTTATTTACAAAAATGTAACAGTCCACTATCGTCTTTTATTTAAAGGTTAAAGTTTTACTAACCCCAGGACCCTGCATTCACTATATCTGGTCTCCCACAGTACACAGAACATGAAAATGCAATTAATTTAAATATAAACTGCTAAATACCATTTCTAATCAGCAGTTAGAGCAGTCTTGTGACTTCTATCAGTGTCCAGCAGAGCACTGGTTAAAGCTTGTAGGAGGAGTTTTCATTCTCTCCTATGAGGCTGCATAAACCCTTGGCCTTCTGTCTGGACAGCGCTGAGTGGCCCTGTGCTGATCACATACACTCTTCCAAGAAAAAAAAAAAAACTAGCAATACACACCAAACTGAGCATGTGCAGCTTGCCTCTAAGCCTCTGTTCCATCAGAAGAGTCAGGGACAGTAGAAGAAGGGGAGGATCAGAGAAGAAAGGATCAAACATCTTTTTTGCACAATGCTGAGGCTTAACCCTTTAGGTCTTACAGTGAGTATAACAAGTATGCTTTGCTGCATTTACAGACTGATTTTACTGTTGTGGGGGTAGTAACTCTTTACATTTACCTTCTCCCTGCACCCTCTGTCACAATTTAAAAACAATGTGACTGTACGGGGCTACGCCAACATAGCCGCATCATTCATTCACAGGAATTTGTGAACTACAAGTCCCGTCTGCCACCAATTCTCACTGAACTGCAAGGGCGCTGGTGAGCACACTCATAGTTCATTGTTATTTTCTACAGCTTTCAAATAGCCCATCTTTTAATCTTCATCTTTTTTAAAAAAGAAACAAATGCACTTGTTTTTGCAGGTAAAAAAAGGTATATATTTTTTTTTTTAGGAACCTGCAGAGCATTGCACCCACGATAAACATATTGCTGGTGCAGTGCCAGGCTCCTGTAGACACTGCCTACAGCTTTCTGCCCATACCTGTGTGTGGATGTATAGAGAGGATTCTGCAATCGGGTGTTATTCCATATGGACGTCCACGCCTCTTTATGTTGCTGAGCTCAGCAGTGCATTCTTCTTTCCTCAGAATGTACCAGACTGTTGATTTGGCCACTCCTAATGTTGCTGCTATCTCTCTGATGGATTGGTTTTATTTTTGACATTTTTTATTTTTTCCAAATGCAAATATCACACTTAAAATCAACTCCAGACCTTTTACCTGCTTAACTGATGAAGAAATAACGAAGGAGTAGCCCATGCCTGGCCATGAAACCATTTTTCTTTTTTATTAATATTTTAATATTACAATAAATAAATCCTCACATTACAAAATCATTACAAAACACATTTTTTCACTGCATATTGTCTCCAATACCTCCCCATGCCCTTCACCATATTCCCAAATTCTTTTCCAATGTTCTTCTTATTCCTCCTTACTCTCCTAGATTTTCTGTGACTTCTCCAACTCCTCCTTCCATTTTTCTGAATTCTTTTCTATTATTTTTCCCCTTCTTCTTTCTTTCCTCTTTTCTTTTTTCCCTTTCCCTGCTCTCCTAATTATTTCCTCTCGCTGTTATTCTTTTTCATTCTCCTACCTCCATTTCCCTCTAACTTTCTTTTTCCCTTTTAGATATTATTCTTTCTTCCCTTCAACCTCTATTCCAACAAGATCAACATATATATTTGAACTTTAAACTCATTCCATTTTTACTGTTTTCTTTTAGGTTTCTCTATTTTATCTTCTGCAGTATGGTACAATTCCTGCATCCTATATAAATGATCTACTCTGCCTATTCCAATACCTTATTTTCGCTACCTCTTGAACCTACCAAAATGTTGGTATTAGTCCCTTTGCTGCATTTATAAAACAAAATATTACCATTCTTATACTTTTCCACTGAGAACTCGGTCTTATGAAATAGGCATACACCTGGATCCTTCAAGATACTAACTCCTAAAATCTCCAGTTTTTGGTGAATTATTTCTTCCCTGTACTAGTTTAACTGACAGTTGCACGGTCATGCAGTACTGTACATTAATTAAATTTATGTCCTTTTTTCACACAAAGAGCTTTCTTTCGGTGGTATTTGATCACCTGTGCGCGTTTTATTTTTCTCACTATAAACAAAACACCGAAAATTTTGAAAAAAAAACTATTTTCTCATTTCTGTCATTAAAAATATCCAAAAAAACTCAAATTCCGTCATAAATTTAGGACCAAAATGTATTCTGCTACATGTTTTTGGTAAAAAAAAAAATCCCAATAAGTGTATATTGATTACTTTGTGTGAAAGTTATAGCGTCTACAAACTATGGTATAGATAATGGAACTTACACAGCTTTTACTTTCTGTCTATCACATTTCTTGAGGTGCTAAAATACCAGGACAGTACAAACACCCTCAAATGACCCCTGCATACATTTTTAATATCCATAAGCAACGATTTAAAAGCCTTTACAAGCTACCATTTTAGATTTACAGAGGAGGTCTACTGCTAGAATTACCACCCTTGATCTGACATTCAGGGCGTTACCTCACATGCATGGTGCAAACGCTGTTTACATACTGGCTCAGGGTCAACGCCCGCAGGCTTTTTTTTTTTCTTAAGTTATTTCGATTTTTAAAATAATTTTTTACACTGTCACTTTCATTTTTTTTTTATTACTTTTAATGCTATCACAAGGAATGCAAATATCCCCTATAACTTCAATGGGCATTGTCATATATTCTTTTTTGAGAAATCTGGGGTCTATCAGACTCTAGATATCTCCTCTGCCCTTACATTATCTAATCTCACCAAGATCGGTGTGATCAGATACTTTCCCAATTTACAAATGGCGCTGTTTATATCCTGCGAAACTGAAGTGATGAAATGCTCATAGCGTCTGATTTCTTAGACTATACAGATAATTGGCACCATTCCAGTCTCCAATCAGCTCTATGGTCAGCTTGCAGAAACAGCCGGCTGCATTCTCAGGTTCCCCCCGATACCATGGGACTGCCCGAAAAGACCTTGGAAGGCAGCGGGGGAGGGGGTCATCTTCTCTCCACTGCTTGTAAAAGCAATCCTGCAGCTAATTAGCCACTAGGATTGCTTTTACATGAAA